ATGTCAACTCATTTTACTTCCTGAATTTCCAGCATAGTGTTTTTCTTTACTCACCCTTCCCCTTTCCACTCTATGTCTTCCCCTCATCTATTGCCAGCAGATACCTGGTGCTTCTGGTGACACCTTTATATGAATACCTTTCCTCACCAACACTGCCAACTGACTGCCTGTTGCCACAGAACCTGCACGGAGCAGCATCCTGCAGCAACTTCTAGAACAGAAGAAATAGCAAAAACATTACTAGGAAAGAAAAAAGGAGGAAGAAAACACAAATTCGTTCACCATGAGATTATTAGCAATAACTCTTCCTCAGATCAAGCAGGGTTTGAAGCAAGGCTGACGGAAGGAGCGAAGGGTGGCTTGTGGGGTCTAAACTCCTCAGGTAATTTGCAGTCATAGGGTATACGATATTTTGGGGAAAATTGATGGCTATGGATAAAAGATGGTTGAAAGTTTGCTTGGTTAGCGTTGGGGGTTTTTGTTTAAATTCAGGTCACAATAATATTATGGGCAACTCACAAAATATATCTATTCTGTTTGGACGGAATAAAATGTTACACTACATGACCTACTTGTTAAACCCAAGGCACAACACGGCAAATAACAGTGTATTTCTATATTCCACTTTACAAACTTTTATATTAGCAAATTCCTGAAACAGGGAATTTTGCCTATTTTCCAAGTGTCTCAAATAGCAGAAGACACAGATCACAGAAAGCTGCTAAAGAATGCCTATATGGATAACTGCATTTTATCTAGAAGACACTGCTTACCTTCACAATACTAGCTATGGTGGCAATCTGAATTAGAAGGAACCTGCAAGGAACTGGGTGCCATCAAGCATGGAAACTCCTCGCGCACACGCACACACCCCCCCCCCCCCCCCCCCCAACCAACTGCGACTTTGAGGGAAATAACAAGCATTTTGAGAAACTGATGAAACCACACCAACATCAGTCCCAAAAGAGTCTGAAACATGCTCTCCTTACAGAACCAGCAACCACCTGGAGCTCTGTCAGAGCAAAGTGGACTTTGACAGTGGTTCTAGTGAAACCTGAGGAAGATAGATGGCTGTGCAATGTTAATTCTGTAGCTTAAGGGCAAGTGTGTACGGACACTTAAAGCACAGAGGAAAAACAAAGAATAAATGCTTTGGTTAACATTAAACTGACATTGCCATTGCTCCTCTGCCTTAAAGGGAAAAAAATGCCCATACCAGTGGAGAGTGCTACAAGGGAGGAACACTCTATCCAGCTCGCTACCACAATTATCAGTTTATGTCTGAGATTAGCTTGTGCTAAGCATCCTTGGATAGAGGGGATTTTCAAACAGTACATGTTTATGACACGGTGCTCCATCAAGTAGAAAAGGTAATTTGCCCATCCTGGGCTATCTGTAGTTTGAATCCTGCGTCTACATAAACTACTCTGTAACTTTGATTGACAGGGGAAAAAAGCTCTCTGTGTTCTACCATAGAGTGTATGTAAAAATAAAATGTATTTTTTTTTTTAGTATTTGGCTCTAGATGGAAGTGTGAAGTTAAAATATATTCAGGAAAAAAGGTTTAAAAAAAGTTTAAGGTGCAAGATAATCTTAGAACAGCAAACTTGGGTCTCCCCTGAGAACCACCCCTGCCGTGGGCAGTAAGAGCCAGCCATCACCCAACTCTGTATTCACCCCCACAGCAGTACATGACAACACAGGGCATATGTCTGATCCACACGGAGCTTTCAAAGAAAATCTAGCATCAGGCAGACACACACTTAGAGACATGAAAACCAACAGCTTAGCGGGGCTTCAAAATGGCACATATGTGAAACATCATCTTCCAGTTACACCGTATGCATAGCACATCTTTAAATACTGACATGACAATTGAGCAGTCAGGGCTTTGTGAGACATATAAATTCGGTGGTATAGCCCTTGCTCTCTTAGCTTCTTTCACCACTCTTGCCACGCAGTCCCCTCCTAGTGCCAGCCAGGAGGTGAGGGTCTATTTGCCTCCTCACCACACTGGAAGCTGTAGCTCCTTCCTTTTGTTTTTAAAGGTGGGACAAGGAAGGGGCATGCATCACAAAAAACTCTGCCAGGAAACATCATGGTGACAACAGCTACCATTCAGGAAAAACCAAGCTTGTCCTTTCTTGAAAACAAATACCACAAAAAGTATTTTTGCTATTGATCGTGTGTTGTTGCTTAAAGCAAGCTACTGATATAAACCAACCTTGGAATATCTGACATATCTGGACCCACAATGCAACGTCCCTCCCCTGGGAAACAATGCAAGCAACTCTTCTGCCACAAAGAAGTCACCATCACCTTGTTGACTACATAACTCCAGAGTGATCGATCTCTTACAAGTAACGCCCATGTGTTGCAAACATCAGCAAAAACTTGAGAAACTGGATCCTCTTGTATTTCTATCTCCCCTAGACTCAGTATGGTATTTACTGTAGCTCAGTGAAGACCTGCAATACCATTTTAGAGAGGATAATGAGACTTTAAGAATTGGTTTTGTTCCAATTTGGCATAAAATGAAAAACATTTTGAAATCTTGCACAAACAGAAAGGACTGTTCTCTGCCTAATTCTGGGATAGTCTGATTTATGAGAACAGTTTACGACCAAATCAGAGTTCATCAGCCAATGCTACGTTTCCTCGAGCTGTGAGAGCTACCACAGCTACACAATGGCAAGTCAACCATCGTCGTTCCATGCTCACAGGGCCCCACGATGCACAATCACTGCTGAAGTTTGGCCAGCAGGTCGAGGGAGGGGATTCTGCTGCTTTGCTGTGGTGAGACCTCATCTGGAGTTGCATCCAGCTCTGAAGCACTCAGCACAAGGACATGGACCTGTTGGATTGGGTCCAGAGGAGGGCAACAAAAATGATCAGAGGGCTGGAGCACCTCTCCTACAAGGACAGGCTGGGAGAGTTGGAGCTGTTCAGCCTGGAGAAGAGAAGGCTGTGGGGAGACTTATTGCAGCCTTTCAGTAATTAAAGGGGCCCTACAGGAAAGACGTGGGCAATCTTTTTAGCAGGGCCTGTTGCGACAGGACAAGGAGTAATGGCTTTAAACTAAGGGAGGGTAGATTTAGGCTGGATATAAGGAAGAAATTTTTTACAATGAGGGTGGTGAAACATTGGCATGGGTTGTCCAGAGAGGCAGTGGAGGCCGCACCCCTGGAAACATTCAAGGTCAGGTTGGATGGGGCTCTGAGCAACCTGATGTAGTTGAATGTCCCTGCTCACTGCAAGGGGGTTGGGCTAGATGACCTTTAAAGGTCCCTTCCAACCCAAAGCATTCTATGATTCTGTAAGTCCACTAAGTACATTCTCCATTTCTAACATCTACCTCTGCCATTAATGCAGCGGGACTGGTTTGGGTTTGGTTTTAGGTTTGGTTTTTTTTTCATTAAGGCAAGGCCATCTGAGTCATCAGAACTAAAAGGGGAAGATAAACCAATTTGGGGTGAGAAATTAAAGGAAAGAGAACGTACCGTTCACAGACTACTTGTCACTGTCCAGGCTTGTTACAGAGGTAGTTCTTGAGCAAACTTCACAGACAATTGAGTGGAAGAAAGAAACTGGTTTTGACAAATAATCTAGATGCACCTACCATGCACTTTTTTTTCCTTCCAAACAGAACTGTTTAAGTACTGTTTCGAACTGAGCACAAAACCTCAAGCCATTGAACAAAGCTTCCAAAACAGCAGTACAGCATTATTTTCGATGAAAATAACAAATGCAACAAATGCAATGTTCCTTGACACACTTGAAGTTCCTGAACCCTCTGGATAAAACCAACACTTCCTTCTTTTATTCTCTAACGTGACATTATCAATGTTCTGCTAACCCTACATTCCTTCATTAGCTATGCTTGCCTTCATTGACATTCCAGTTTTTTATCATCTACAGCATGTTTTCCACACGTGCACCTCTTCTTGTCACAGTACAAGACAATAAGGAAACAGTAACTTCAGTCATCTACTGAAAAAGCAACATTTACGTAAAATACCTATAAATCTGGAATTCTTTCAACACATATGAGAAAATATTGTTCTAGCTAATAAGTACTCTATTCAGCAGTTAATTATTTGTGTGTGCATACAGAAATATAAACCCATCGTATGACTATCTATATATTCTCTTGCACTACATACACCTACACACTTGCTTCATCACCAGAACAGGCTACTCAGAATGCCATTATGGAAAATATTTGTAACGTATCTTTTCTCCAGACCTGCTCCTTCCATCTTCTTGGCACTGAAGGCCGGAAAACTTTGTCTTGATATATTAAACTTTGTATGAATAGCAAACCAGAGAATTAAATTCAAGTTCAACTTCTGATTTAAAAAACAAGTTATGTTCAGCTTTTTGTGTATCAAACCTGAATACATATTACAGAGATAAAACTAAAATTGTAATGTCAATTTTTGCTAAACTGAAGTCATGCTCAAAAAACAAACATCCTCAGAGTCTACTGAAAGTAACAGACTGCACGTTCATTGGAAAACAGGCATTTAATTTTTTAAGAAAATATTAACAATGATAACGTTCTTAGAGAACAGCATCTGCACACACATTCATTAGTGTATTTATCCAGGCCCAAAATTTGGCCCTAACTCTTAATATCCCTGCATCTAAGTGTAGCTTAACACTGTCTTGAAATAAAACTAGGGTAATACATCATAGAGATAGTAACTTACATATTCATTGCCTAAATAAAAAGCATTATAAAATTTTTAACAGGTTACAGTAAAATGCACTAGGTATCTGTAGAAAAAGAACATTTCTTTCCTCCACACATTCAGGTAGCCTCTAAGCTCCACTACAACATATAAACACATACCTTTTTGTAGCAGAAGAAAACAAACAAAATTATATGTAATTTCTAAAAATCACTCGCCACCAAACTGAAAAGGGAAATGTGTTTCATGGGCACAATCATAGTAGAGGAAAAATAGTTACTTAATATTCAGGTTACTTACAGATTTGTTGTCCAACCTGCAAGATCTCCGCTGTCCATAATAAGGTGATTTCCGTCCAGGAGCCCAGAGGGGCTACTAGAGAAGGCAGGTGTTGGAGACTGGGAAGAAAGAGAATCCATGCTCCCAGTTGGGGTGTCTTCTCTGCGAGAGCTGTGACTGTCAGCTAGAAAAGAGTGCACAAGTCAGAACAATACTAAAAAGAATCTTCTCATGAGCCAAAAAAGCTGCTTTGGTAGCACTGTCCTGAAATGTATACGAGAAGAAACCTTACTGTCCTATCTTCACCAGATTTTTTGGAGGACAAGCAATCCCCCAGCATTTCCCCAAAAGGTACCATTGCACAATTTCCCCCATCATTATCACCAAGCTATCTTCACAACACAACGTGTTCTCATTCCCCTTTTCAACATGTGTTTTATGTGGATGGATTTATGAAGGATTATTTGTAGACAAATGCATCACTTCAGATAAAAAAATAGTTTAGGCCATATACATTTGCACATCTCTCTAAAAACAGACAGACATCCGAGGAAACGATTGCTCTCAAGTACCATAAGCACAATCCTATCAAACATGAAATAATGAAATTTAGAAAGGTCAGAATAAGCAGGAGATCTCTAACAAACACACAATACCCAAGAATATTACTCTTATTACTCCTTTTTAATGGTGTTACTTTTAAGAGAACTCATTTTTTTTCTGGCTTTCTATTTGTTTTCATAGGCTACACTTAGACTATCACTCAGGAGGCAACACATTCAGACACGATTGCTTAAGAAAACATTAAAGGAACACCATCCCTATCCCACGGACAGTAAGAGAAAGCTACCAATGTGTCACAGCACTCACTGCAAACCATGCCAACACATCCAGCCAAACAGCACGTTCTTCACCGAAGAGCTAACCCACGCTTGCTTGACAAGCTCTATCTCCTGTACACAGTGCTATACAAGATGAAGTCCTGTACAGTATTACTTTCCAATTCTAAATGAATTAGATCTGCATAGCGAACAATCAAGCTTAATTCTATTCCATTAAGCTAAGCCATACAGCTGCAATGGCTTCTTTCATTTATTATTTTTTCCTTAATTAATTAAAAATGCAACAACAATGAAACGTGGACAATGAAAAGCCACCTTCACTGGATAAAATCCTTCTCAAACTCCTTACTGCCTCAACCAGTTCAACTCCTTCTGCTTCAAAAGCAGAAAGCTAACAAAGCACTCGCTGGCTTTCGCAGCCCTCTCGTCCTCACCCCCTCCCAGCAGCTCTCAGAGAACAGCTTCCCTACAGAGTAAAATGACATACAACTATAACCACCGAAATGATAGAAGTGATCATCTGGAAATTTCTCCCTAAAGCAGCTGCTAATTTAAGGATCTAAATTAGCCCGTAGTAACAAAGTATGATAAGCTCTGAGGAGAATGCTAACCTGAGAAAGTGAGTCACTCGCACTCCAGCCCAGTCTTGCTCACCTCACAGTTCCTCGCTGCACCCCGGCCACGATGTTGCCATTTACATTTACATGACAGGACATGAGAACCGCAGGAGTGTCAGGTAAAAACTAATTAACTACATCTCATTTGCAGACATATGTGTCACAACGATAAACATCTGAGAGATTAGACAGTAATACTGCAATTTTACTTTGTAAAAAACCTGAATTCCTTAAAACTAAATAGACTTAAATCCTTTTAATTCATGCCGATTTCTTTTCAAAGTAGTAGTATTAATGCAACCCATACTATCAAACTATATACACTGTATTAGAAGGCCATGTTTACCTCAACTATTTACTTAACATTACTAAAACAGCAGTAGAAAAGAATTAAATCTGTTCTTTGGTATTATGAATATGACCAACTCACTGCACCTCCCTACAGAAAGCAGAGGTTTTTCTGTTGAATTGTTTCTCAGAGTACATACAAAAAGTAAAAAAAAAACCAAAAACTAAATACTTCAGTCGCGCACAGTAGAGTCTACATTGCGGACTGCAGTATACAGACAATTGTATTTGGCATTATCATAAATGAAACTGTGTGTTAAATCTTTCCTCAAATTTTACTTCTTCCTTCCCTTCCTTCCTGAGCCAGTGTTTTCTCATGGTCAATACTGCGTTGCACTCTCAAGAACAAGATCGGGTTTTGAACACTAAAACCAAATCAGGTATTTAAACAGGAAAACGCCTGCTAAATTCTATGGGATTAAGTGAACACCTTCTAAAAACACATTCAAATATACTTTACATTTCTGATGTTTTCAATTATCTGTTTTTGTAAAGTAAAACAATACCTTTATTCAGGAAAAGGCAATTCTGTATAAATGCAAAAACAGATAACTAATAACCACCTAGCACATTTTCCTGATTAAAAACAATATATGCTCAAAACCTAAGTCTTCGAAACAGAGTATCGTTGCTCTAATTTCAACAGTGCAAAGATTTCAATCTGTATGTCGGTGACAAAAAGCTCTGCTAACTTCAGAAACTGTAGTAACTTCCGTCCATGGCAGAGGCCATAGAATTGTATCTAGATCATCTCTCCATTAAGCTTAATAACCTGCTTTTGATTAATGCCCATGTCATGTTGGGCCAAACTGTATCTTTCAAAAAGTCTTTGTCTGAAGATATCGGCCGATGATAAAGGTAATGGAGAATCAACTGGCTGTTAATTAACATACTCACTGATTAATGCACATACCTTCACTTTGTTACGCTTTCTTTTCAGGCATGACCCATGTAAAATGCATTGCTAATAATTATAGTATCTCTCATATCTGTTTTTTGTGCTGTGTGAAGGTATTTAAATGACCTCCTTTATAAATTTAACACTAAATCTCTTACAGTAAGGGATTTCACAGTTTTGGAATCATGCACCTCTTTTATAAACCCGTTACAACTTTCTAGAATTCTTTCTGAAGAGCATACATCAGATCTGAATTCATGGTATTTTGTTGTGGTCCCATGAGTGTCACGCTGAGCTTTAATTCCATCACTTACTCCTTCTCATCAGTTCCCTGTTTGTACACCCAAAGCTGGCACTTTTTTGCCATGGCTTTAAATTAATAGTTTGGATGAGCTGATTGCCCACTGTGACTAACAGACTTAGCAGAGTCACCATTTTTAAGGACGTAGTCCTCCATTCTGTAGCTATGGGCGAAATTTTTCCTCTAAAAACTGTAAATTTATTTCTCAATACAACAAAGCTTATTTCGTTTGAATGGGTGCAGCTTTGTACAAGACCATAACTCCTATGTGACTAGCATTGTCATTATTTGCAATTCCTCCTAACTTTGCCCCGTACATAAATATAACAAAGATTTGTATTTACCTTTCTAAATACTGCTACTACATTAGCATTCCTCCAGTTTCTTCAAACTTCTTCAGAATGCTACAAGGTGTTTTAAAAATTAACATGGCCAAGCCATAAAACCCCATGAGCAGAGAACTTTTTTAGGACGTTAGATGGCTTCACATTATTCATAATATTCACCTTGCAACAGACCTACCTGTGGAGATTTCTGCTTGTTCCTGTAATACCACATTGATTTTCATAGCTAAGTTCTTTTTAACAATTCTTCAAAAAATGTAACATATATTGACTGCTAGCTATTTCCTCTTTTTTCCTCCCCTACCCTTTTCCTGCATTTGCTTTGTGGAGCCAGTAAAGATCCTAACTTGCTGGAGATTAAAAAGCCTTTAAAGTTTTAACATGGGTTGTTTGTTAAAGAGCGTGCTAAAGACATTGCTGAATTTGAATCAGCTTTATCATTTTCATTTTACCTCAGAATGCAGGGGCTCCCTAATGTTGATAGTCTAATATTTTACTGCTTCTCTCCTCTCACTCCTCTTTACCTCCAACATTTTTCTCCAGTATGTAGCATTGTCAGGTTTCCCTCTTCAAGGAAAAGGCTGGCTGCCCCAAAGGACTGACAGGTCCTTTTGAAGAGGAGCTCCAGAAACTTCCTAATCTTCTTTTCTACAGTTGAATTCTAATGAGCTCTTACACTATAAAATAGAGAAGGTGCCATTTCTTCTAAAGCTCATTGATATCATACTTTGAGCATACAGTTTTATGTTGTTGGGGTCTTCATTTTCTCTCCCTAAAAATGTCAACCCCCCTCCCTTTTGTCTCCCATTACGCTATTACCTCTGGGTGCCAAAGAGTACCAGAACAGATGAAGGACTTCAGGATTCTCAGAAAGTAAGCCCGTATGACATCTCAATTTCTGTCAACACTGCAGCCATCAACTCTACACCTTTTCTTCTTTATATTTGTGAGAAGACTCTGAGTGCCTTCAGCTTGGCCATATTTCTAGAGTTGCTATCAAGCTGCTTCTGCAATTCATCTCCTCATCCTACACAAATAGGTGTAAGATCCAATTTTACTCTCAACAGAGTTAAAACTTGTTTCATATTCTCACCATCTTTTGCATACTATTTAAATTTTTTGACTGCTCAGATCCTTTTAAACTGTCATCTAAATTATCTTCTTGTTTCGCTGTTCTAATCACAACACTCATCCAAGCTTTAGAGCTTTCACTGTGCCTCTGCAACAGATACCTGTGCTTTGCCTTTATGGCTGTTCACAGTTCAGACCAGCCCAATGCAGAGAATAAGATAGCTTAGGTTGATCCTAACCATCTACTGGTTGTGCCTAGATGGTACTACTTACCATTCGGTTTCTAACCCAAATATCCTTCCTCCTTCCCCACTCCCTGCTTCGTGTCACCCTTTCTCATAATGAAAAATCCCCACAAGGTCAGAAAGTACTTATATAGACTAAAACTTACCTCATCTGGCTTCTCTCTAGCAAATATGTCACCGTCAATTCCTTCTCCCTTTTGTCTCAACGAGCCTCAGATAGTAAAGGCTCTCTGACTCTCCATACTAGAAATCTGAACTCAGCTTCTATCTAACCGAGCATGGCATGCCTCCCAGTTGCCTTTTTTTCTCCTTTTTTCATCTGGCTAGTCTAATAATATATTTTGTTGGCATCCAAAGTTGAAAAAAAATGAAATACTTTGGCAGTGTCAATAATCAGATCCTTACTTTACTCCAAGAATTCTAAATATGAAAAAATATTTGTAATAAAAACTATGAAAACCAAAAAGCTAAGACTATCAGTTACTTGCTTGAGTGACAGACTTTTCTTCCAACTTCAG